AAACAGTATTCAAAACAGTTTACATTCTTATTCTGGGATTGCTTAAGTCTCTCCTTTTGGTACGTATTAATAATCTACATTTTATTTTGAGCTTTATATTTTAGTATTAATTTGATCTATTAATAAAAGCCAAAATGCATCTAAGAAATAGATTAAATCTGGATTGCTTTCTTTTGTGGCTTCTTGTCCTCCTGAAAATGTTCCAAGTTACTGTGAAATGCAAATACCAGCCACACTGGCAAAGTTCCTTTTCATCTGTTCTCTACTGTTTTTATTATCTCTCTAATTTTCTTTTAAACCTGTTTTACCTCATTTATATTAAATTGTGTTAACATTAGTTGGCTAAATGTTTTTTTTTTTTTTAATTCTTTTTTTTTTTTAAGATTTATTTATTTATTTATTTATACAGTCAGAAGCGTGGGAGGGCGAGAGAATTCACCAGTGCCAGAGCGGGGAGAAGAACAGGCAGAAGGACCGAAATACATGCTGAGGGGAGCAGTAGGCAGCAGGAGAGGTCTGCGCGCCACGTGGGACCCTCGCCGGTGGGGGATCAAACCAGCGCTGCAGAGGCTGTGGGCAGCCTCACAGCCCAGCGCTCAACCACTGAGCCACCAGGGGAGGCCCAGTTGGCTAAATAGTTTTTTCTTATTACAAAATACTAAAATACTATCAGTACTTATTATATACCATATAATTGATTTCAACTTTACTAATATTGATAAATTATTTTAAATATTGATATTTAAAGCATAAACTTATTCCACTGCACATATGAATATGAGATATGATGAAAAATATAGTGATGCTGAAAATGAAAAGTGGAAACAGAAAACATGTAATAATAAATATCTTGCCTGATGATGATATAACTACACAATTGAGCTGACCTTGCAGTTTACTTTTCAGTTCTTGGTTTTAAGGCTCTAAGGAGGGAAGGAGCTTGACTAATAAAACATCTGTATTAAAATTCTGATTTACTTCTATATTATAAATAATTACTTGGCAAGTTAATAAAATTAATAAAATGATTATGATTGTTTCTCAGGAGAAGTTGTAAAAGTACAAAGAACAAAAGTTAACAAAAATCATATAAATTTGAAAGCTATTAGTTTTTCTAAGATTTCCTGTTTCTGCAACCAAATTCAATGCAATAAATTTCACTATTTAAAATCCACTGAAGAAAAAGTAATTAATTGGAATTCCATGTATTCTTTCAATATTAAAAAGTGCACAAACTACTAAATATACAGCAACCTCTTAAAACATAACAATTTATTTTGGCAAGCAAAATACATACAATTGTTTATTTTGGCAAGTAAAAGTCTTGAAATAAGAATCACTGAGTGATTAGGTTTAAGCAAGAAATACCCAGTCATCTTAAAGATACTGTAATCCATGGAATCTGAGTCTCAGTTCAGTAAGTCTATGTTACAATTATTTCAGATGCTAAACGCTATATGATTTTATGAAGATCTCACATGTCACTAAAAACCACAAAAGAAAACCACAACCATAGAATTTCACTTTTTTTAGATTCCTAAATGTTTAACACCCTTAAGTAGAGCAAAATTTATATAGATTTTTCCATGGCTCCAAGTACTTACCTGCTGATGATCCCCAAATCTTTATCTACAACCCAGATCATATCCTAAGTGTCAGTCCAGTATCTCCAACTACCAACGGGACATCTCTATCTGTGTCTGCACAGCTATGTTAAACATGCTAAGTCCAAAACTATTCTCAATATCTTTCCCTTAAACTTGTGCAGTCTTTATTTTGTTTTTTCTTTTTCACATTAGTGGTCACATGACTTACCTAGACACCCAAGGAACCTTGCTAATTCCTTTCTCATTAAAACTCCTGTCTCCACACTTAACGGGTTTCGAAGTTATTAATCAGTTAATAACTTTGCCAATCCTATTTCCAAAATATCTACTGAATCAAACTTCTTTTACTTATCCACATGGTCACTGCTTTATTTCACATTCCAATTAATTTTATTAATTTATCAATTAATTTTTATTTATTTATTTTATTTGTGCTCTACTTAGGGGTGATCTACATTTAGGAAACTAAAGAATGAAATTCTATGGTTGTGGTTTTCTTTTGTGATTTCCAATGACATTTTTATGTGAAATCTTCAACTTTGTAACTATCAATAATTTACTTTTTCTCACTGTTGCCTCATTTCAATCCACCCTCCACCATGCCATCAGAGTGACAAAAGGTAAACCTCCTCTTGTATAAATTTCTTCAACTGTTCATTTTCAGGATTTAGAAGTGTCTTTATCACCTTTCATTTCCTCCTTTTAAATGTAATCCTTAAAAATCTCTTATACCAAAATATTTTCTTCTGCAAATGCTTTTCTTTTAACTAGAAGGCCATTCATTAGCTAAATCATTTGTTTAGAAAACATTTAGTATCAATTATGTACTGGACAAAGTAGGACTTTGAAGGCATGAAGATCCTTAGCTTCAATCAAGATGTCATAATGAACTTACCACTATTTCTCTATTTAAGCTTGCGATACAAGAAGTTCAAGATGTCTGTAGAGACTCCAGATAAACTCCTAACTCATCTTTTCAAACTTACTTGAAGAGACATGTTGTCTAGGCTGCTTCCTGAGCATTTCCATTATTCTCTTTAGTACAACTTGGAGATTATCTCCAGTGTGTTCCTGGCATTAAGAATATATTTCCTGCTATGAGTGAGACTCATAGCAGGAATCTAGAAAACTTAAATAAGGGACCAGGAAAATGAATAACTATAAGAAAGTGAAAATCAAAATCAACAAAAACTATGAACCAGAGACACTTTTAGGGGGTGGGGGTGGGAGGGGAGGGATTGGGGTCAGAATGGGGGGGCTGCAATTGTATGGGGAATATAACAATAAAATTTATTTAAAAAAAAAAAAAAAAAAAAAAAAAAAGAATATATTTCCATAACATTTTCATAAAGAATTGTAATTCTTGGCTTCCTTGGGATTTCCCACCCTGCTGGGAGCCTCGTGAGATTAAGGTCTTTATTGTATTCCTGGAATCTAATATCACAACTGATCTATAGGCAATTTGATTAAGTAAGTATTCTTATTTGGTGACCAAAATATTTGTCAAATAGCCACCAGTGCACAACTTTTTATAATTATGCTGACACTTCAAAGCAATAACAATGTTTTAAGCCAAGAAATTCAAAACTATATTTTATATATTACAAACAATTATAATGCAAGTTAATAAAATTTATAAAATGATTAGTATTTGATACTCATGAGACATAGTGTTTCACTTAATAAATAGTTACTCATTTGCTATAAAAAGTCATACATATCCTCATTTTAGGCAAAAATGGTCTATTAACTTTAAAAAATAAGTGCTTTCTAGCTTTAAAGAAACATGATCGCAAAGGATAATTTGGAATATGCAAAAAGACACTAAAATGATTTTAAAGTAGTATCTATTTTATGTATTTCCTTTGATGACTTTTAGATACAACTTAGTTTGAGCAAAATATATATCACATATATACAATTACATCTCAAATCATTATAGAAAATTATATAATATTTATATATTATAATTTACATAAAAAAAATATATTTAATGTATTATATACATTAGTTTAGCTACTGAATGGCCTTCTATATCATTGTGTGTGTGTGTGTGTGTAAAAAACTTGGTGCTTTGCTTGCTTTTTTTTAACCTAACATTATATTAGCAAATCCTTTCATGTTACTTACAGTCTCTTGAAAACAATTTTAAGCCTATAAACTGTAGTCCTAAGGCTATTCTACAATTAATTTCACAATTATCCTTTAGATAAGCATATCACTATTAGAATTAATACTATAAAATGCATCACAATTGCAAATAATACTGTGATAACACTCTCGTATATGAAATATTGTTCACATCTCTATCTCTGTAGAATAGATTTTTAGAATGCAAACTATTCCTCAGAATAATAAACTTTTAAAGGTTCCGGATATATTTGAGTCTTCCAGAAAGTTTGTACTTATTCACATTTGTTTCTATACTAAATTCCCAAAGACATTACATATTTCTGGTTATTTTAAAATCCTGTTAATGTAGAAAAGGGGTTGTCTGTGTCTTTTTTTCTAGCAGTTTAAGGGTGACTAATGTGTATAGGTGGTAGAAGTAGTAATACTTCATTATTGTGTAGCAACATGGTCACATACCTACTCTTATTTAATTCTCACAACAACTCTGTGAAGTAGATACTATTGTCTCTATTAAAGGGATGAAATGGACCTCAAGTTAACATTAAAACAGCCTGCTTATTAAAGCCCTTCTCAGGAGTACCCATTCAAAGCTTCAAGAATTTAGCTGAGAGAAATAGCAAGTTAAAGTCTAACTACTTCATTTTTTTTCCTTCTAGATAGTATGCAATTTGACAGGTAGCTCTTAATGAAAGGTATTATACTTAGGTGTTTCATGAACATCAGTGTCAAATTGGATTGCTCAGAAACTAAACTAATTTCAGTGGACTAATAAACCAGAGTTGGAAGGAACCTATTCACATCAAAGGCAGATTGTATAGCTGAGCCAGAGTTTTCTCGCTTATTGAGAAGAGTATCAGCACTATGGTCATTCATGTACAATGGCTATTCTTTAACACAGTGCTGAGGAATGAGGGTAATAGTAGTCTTTAAGATGGACATCCAGAATTGCATATTGATTTTTATTCTGTTTAAAAGTTACAAATTCTTGGGCCTGCCTGGTTGCACAAGGGGTTAAATCTCAGCACTATGAAGCTATCTGCAGCCTCTGCAGCACAAGTATCCCCAATCAGCGAGCTGACCCACATGGCACAGCAGACTTCTCCTGTCTCATCCGCTGGTCCCCTCAGCAGTGAATTTTAGTCAATCTCCCTGTTCTGCTTCCCACTCTGTCTCTGATGAATCCTCTCACCCCCTGCACCTCTGGTCTACCCTCTTGTATGCATAAATAAAAAGATTTTTTAAAAAGTTACAAATTCTTACCTTAACTATAAGTCCTTTTGAGTCAACCAACCATATCTTTTTTCTGGCTTTCTCCTTTGTTAAGCCTTCTTTTACCATGGCCATAACAAGCAGGTTTGCAATACCTAAGGCAGCCTGAGACAGACGTTAAGAAAATAAAGATGTTTAGTGATTCCATAATAATAACAGGAGTTACATTTCACCCCATTTTGTCTTTTCTAAAATAAGAAAATATAAAATGGTTCTGTCTACTAATCTTGGGAGTAAAGTATTTTTATCATATTTGGATGGAGTTAAGTAACAATTACTCATCTTATTATGACAGAACCCCTATTATGTGGCTTGCTATTTAGCTATAAGTCACATTCTTGATTGTTGGTATAAATAGTCTTGTTACTACAATTAATATTGGTTTCAACAAGAAAATACTTAATTTAAAATAATAAACTGGTCAATCATGTTTATTGGACTGTATTGTTTATTGTGATGTTCCTCTATTGAATTTGAAGACTGAAACCTGGTCATTTGTGTGAGAACTGGACCAATTAGGCAACAGAATAAAATTGACCAAAAAAATTGTGTTCCCAAGCATTTATTTACTTGGACAAAGAAAGTACTGTGAAATATTTTGTTAGATGAAAGGAGGCAACTTCTCTGGCATTTGACATATTTTTGTGATAATTTGTTAAATTTCCAAAATCTTTTCAGGGACAAACAGTAGCATTTGTAATCATTCAGCCATGAACACCCTACTAAATGTCAAGAACAGGTCTGTGCAATGCATTGCAATTCTTCAGAAATTCAAAGAAGAAATTTACTAATGTACAGCCTGTAACAATCTATAGAAATAAAATACTCAAATGTAACTTAACCCAGATTTTTTATTCTGATGTGAAAATGATTTTGTGAGTTACATTCTGAGTACTTTCACATTTGTTTCTTAGCTTTAAAGTTCTAGTTCCATGTGTTTTGTTTAATTTTAAGAAGTAACTTCAACACAATTTCTACCAATATAATACATGTATTCATAATCACATTAAATTTGAAAATTTAACACTTCTTAAAATATTAACAGCCACAAAGTATTTCTCTTTTTATTATATTCTATAATTCTAAATAGATTTAGGTACTTTTTTGGTAAAATACTCAAGCTGAATTGAAATTTTAATTTCTATTTTAGAGGTGGATTATTATTACTGAAGTAGAATCTTCTTTCAAATGATTACTGTATAGAAAAGGATAACAAAACAGCCTAATTTTGTGTTACTACCTTTTCCTTCTAAAAATTTTAAATGTTTTGGCTCTTTTTAATATGAACGGGATGCAATATAAGTATATGAAAAAGTATAATCTAATTTGAGAAAATGACAGAAAGCAGAATATTGGTTGCCTGGGGATATCAGGAGTTGGGGCCAAGAGAAATTACAAATGGATATAAGGAAACTTTGTGGGTAAGGGATATGTTCATATTCTTCATTGTGGTGATGATTTCTAGGTTCCACATATACCATCAAACTTACCAAATTGTATATTTTAAATATATACATTTTACTTTGTCCATTACACTTCAATAAATTTGTTACAAAATAGAAAAATAAAAAATTAAAGTCAGCATTAGATATAATAACTTAAGTGTTTTTAGATACAAGACTACATTATAAACATTTTTGTTACTGTAGAGGCACCATAAACAATACATGACAAAGACCTATGGCAATATTTGATAATCTTACAAATTTAAAAAGGAAAACGTATACCTCTGTATTAATGTTGCCTATGAAAAATTAATATACATCAATACTCAATGTGGGTATTTCAATACAGCCTATAATTGCAATAAGCTAAAAATCTGAAAGAAAACATCAAACTTGGAATTAATGAATACTTAAAATGAATTCTAGTTTCATTAGTTTAGGAGAACATTATTATATAAATTAAATACCTCTCCAGCTCCTTGGAATAGTATTGTTTGATCAGACAGTTTATTCTTGGTTATTCGAAGCGCTGCAAGGACACCCGCAACAGCGACAGATGCTGTTCCTGAAACAAATAATAAGCACCCTTGAGTTCTCCTCCAACAGAGCCTGTCAAATTCTGAAGCTCAACTTTTTATATCTTGAAATCATTATATAAGATCATATAGCAGGCTAACTGGGACAGAAAGGGACCTGTAATTGCCTGATTCCATACTTGTTTATGATGTGAGATTCTCAGGTTACTGATAGCAATATTTTAGAATGTGACTCACTACTACTGTCCTTAAAAACTTTCCAAAAGTATTATTTTGGTAATACAATGAATGAGTGTGAGGTTTGGATTATGTGAATTACAGTTCAATCTGATTACCAGCTGAATTAATGAAGATAAGCTGTTTTATATATCAGTTTTCTAGTGTGTAATATAGTTGTACTATCTACTATAGAAGAGTACTAAGTACTATTAGATTCTTTCACCCTGGGGCTCTGAAGTCTATTACTGATCCCTTCCATGTAAAGTAGTATGCACACAGTAAGTGCTTGTTAATAATAGTGCTTGTAGTAGTGATATTTTGTTACATTTGGAATTTAATGCTTTAATTTTCAATACGAAAAATTAACAATGTTAATAGCAATTAAGATCTGATTTTATTGCATTCTTTAATGTCTTCCTACTTATGATAATCACTGGTTGATTACAATGTTGCTAGACAAAATTAGGATAAAACTTAATTAGGATAAAAACTGAGTTTTCCTCCTTATGCCAATGGCCATAGAAACATCACCAGTTCTAATTTTATTACTTTACAAATAAACTTTCACAGATCACAGAGCAGTTCTTTTGCTTTGATCATAATTACATACTTCAACTTCTGGCTCATGTCTTATATAAAACTTTGCAACTGCTGCAGTACTTCCCAGCTGTATCTACATTTTACTACTCAAAAGTTACATTCTACCTACAATGATTCCTAAGCTTCTCAGTTACCTAGTAAACTTTAAACACTCTCATTTGGCTAAAACAAACAAGCAAACAAACATAGATTAGAACTGATTAGATGAAAGATACAATGATGAAGTGTTATGATGCCAAGTACCAAAGGCAAATTTAATGTTTTAGCATCAGTATATTTGTTCTTTTCAATCTTTTGAAAAGAAAGTTTCTTTTTTTTCTTGGGGAAACTGTAGTCATAAAAAAGCTGACAATAATAATTATTGAAGACCTGTTTGTCTTCTGCATGTTTTTATTTAGGAACATAATGCAGACTATGAGAAAAAGTGCTTGCAATTTTGAGCCACCATTGCAATAAAGCACAAACTATGTAGTCATGCATGATGTAAAAGCAACTCATATATGCATTATTTAAACTGTAAGCCAATGTAAAAATATAGTTTATATATGTCAGGAAGATACCATGACAGGATTAGAATGATATGTGACTGACTCATACATAAAGATAGATTCACTAGAGTTGTTAAATAGATAAAAATAATTTTCATTAGAGAGGTATGGATATCAAGTCACTAAATATCACAATTAATATCTCAAGCTACCTTGATTTCAGAATCTTTTGTAGTAAGTTGGCCAGAAGTTTGCATTTAAGGAACTCCGAGCTCCCTTCCAACTCTGAGATTCTGTAATTTTCATGATCATATAACTTCTACCAGTACTAAATTTATTAACCAATTAAAAAATCAAAGTCAAAATATCATCAGCAATCACCACATTGGTATTATTTTGATTTTAAAAAAGAGAGGACATTTAAGGACAAACAGATATATATTCCAAAAAATCCTAACATAATGTGGTGACTTATTTTTATATTGTCAATGCTATCATTCTGTATTAAATCATTCTGTATTAAAATCCAAATGTCTTAAGTTCAGATGCACTATCCTAAGTAAGGCAAAATAAGTCTCTATCTACACTGAATATCAGCACCTTATATATAAGTGTATATTTTATATACCCTGAGTGCATACTGTAACACACTATTTTCTCTTCCTAGAATTTAAAAATCAGAAAGATATATTTTACACTATTAAAAAGTAAACTTAAACATGATTCTTATACAAGTCTTGTTCTAGCGCCTGGATAGGAAGCACCACAACCTCCTAGTATTGCCTTGACTTAAATTTCACTACAGTAAATACAGTATTATAGCAAGCTGGTATTTCACAAAAATTTGAGTTTTCACAATTAATTATTCCAAAATGTTTTGAGGTTGAATACTAAACTTTTCATAAATCAAAGAACTGGCAGTTTATCTTTGCATATATCATTTTCTTTTAGAGTACTTAATATTTAACATTTTAGCAACATACTAGATTCAATATTAAAATTTTTGAAACTTTGTATCTGTGTGTAATAAGATTTTTAACAATAACAGGTCACCAATTATGCTAGGCTTTTGGCTAGGGTTATTGAGAATCAGTCTTATCTTTTATCAAAGAATGACCTCTCCTAATGCAGTAATTTGTCATATCTGATTTCTATATTTAAATAGTAAAAGAGACAAATGTGTAATGAAATAATTACTATCCACATGTGTTACTAAATAAATATAAGATCAGATTAAATACAGGAACAGAAAAAATTATTTATTTAGGCAGGCACCAAGGCATTTCAAGAACATATTACCTCAGCACACTATTCAAGGAAAATGTGGGAAGTGAGACAGGAGGATTTACTATGAAAGAAAAAAATAATGTGCAAATGTGAAGGCAGGGATGACTTTAATAAAATGGGGGATTTTACACACAGTTTAGTTTCCCTCCCCCTCAAAAAACTCTACTAGAACAACAGAAAGGAAATTTTAAAACATCAAAGAGATCTGGAGAAGAGGATAGCAACAAAATTTTAAAAGCTGGAAAGCAAATAGAAAATGACAATTGACTTAGCAGAGTTGAGAAAACTAAATTTTTGGCCAGCCATGAGGAATGCTAAGAAGCAATCAGGCTGACATAGCAAAATTCTCAAAGGGACTGGGAACAGGAGGCACCAAGTACCTCTGGAGTTGGGGATGGGAAAGGGGATAAAAACAGGAGATTGGTCAAAAATTCATAAAGTAGTTAGAACTCAAATCCTTCTCCCTCTCCTTCTAGCAGACACTTGTCCCTCCCAAACTCTGGAGGTTTAAGAAAAAACTAGAGCTTTATTTTCTTGGACAAGTCTTGTCCATCAAATATTATTTATGAAATAGAGAAGGTATCTGTACTGTAAGATACCACATATAATTTTAAGACACAGGAATAACTATCCAGGGTTCCATACTGAAAAAAAGATTTACTGAATGTTCACATACCCAGTTAAAGGAATCTCAATCTGTTCCTACTTGGCTCAAAGAATCCTGACAGAAAGCTAAAATCAGAAGAGAGATTGGAAAAAAATTTTCTGTGGAAAATTTTAAGGAAAATTTTAAGGAAATGGTCCAAGAGACCTTGCAGTATAGACCCAGAACACAAACTCCACTTTTATAGTGAGCTGCTAGGAATGTAAATGGAGAGAGACTCCAGAATGTATGTGAAACTGTAGGTATTACATATTCTGAAGAAATGTGTACATGCTCATTTTTTTTAAAGCATCATTGACAACTGGGATTATAATAAAAATCTTTGCCAGTTTGATAGAGAAAATCAATTACGCATTTGCTGTTTTACGCATATGCTTTTAAAACTTAGGATGTGGTTTAAATTTAAAACATTTTCTGGCACATGTATTTTTTTTTTGTGAAATGTCTGATCTACTATACCTAATTTTGAACTTTTTTTTATCATCAAAGCATTTAGTACAAGGTTATATCACACTTATTTTTAAAAATCCTCACAAATGAAAATAATTTATTAAAGTTAAGACCTTTATGTGAAATATTTCGTGTCATGTTAGAAAACAGTCAGACTTCAAAGAGACTACTATGGGAAGAAAAAAGTCTCTTTTTTTAGATGATTTTAAATGACCAGAAAATGGAATTTTATTCTTTTAATCTGAATTTGCTAAATTCTGATGGTCTCCAGATCATGTAATTAAATGCTCCATCTTTAAATAGACTTAACGCACATAATTTTTCTACATAAAAGCAATTTATAATTAAAATGCATTATGGTCTAAATACATTTTGAATGAATCATGTAAATTAGCTTAGATTGTGAATACAGTAGAATTTTAGTTTTTTAAATTGAATACCATTCATGAAATATCTTTAAATAAGACTTCTGTTTAAAAAAGAGAAAAAAATTCCTCCAAAGATTCAGTGTAAGAATATTTATTTACATGGTAAGGCCATAATAGTTACATAATTATTTTTATTGGCACTAGGAAGCAATTTCTATGCCCACAGTAGGGTATTACATTTGTGAGCAATGATGGTAAAAACATAAGGCTGAAAGGTAAAATAGAAACATATGGAAAAAATATATCATTAAGACACTACCAATTTTCCATTAGTATGGAGTAGTATGGAGAAATGCACAAAATTATGGGGTCATTTTAGTCAGAACCCCAATAATTTAATGAAAGCTTTCTCTAGTCAGAGAATAGATCTTTTTCTCAAATCAATCTTTAATACTGGCAAAAGCAGTAATATTCTAAAACTACGTGAAAATGGGTAGACTGTATGTGTGCAGGTTAGATTTTAGGTCAGATTAACAGGTGAGAAAAACTGGATTTAATGTCCCCATGATAATGATTTGCAGAGGGAAATTTTCTTCTGTGGATCCTCAAAGTTCCCTCACATCTAGTGTTCTTCACCTCACTGGGCAACTGCCCCTCAGCTGTCCTAACTGCAATATTGACGAGGTCCAGGCCCTGACCTCCTAATTTCTGGTTTTGTTTGATACAAATTTTTACCCATCACTTTTCTTAAATCGAACCCAGGCTTATTAATTCTGCATAATAATTCAAAATTATGTAATATAGGAGTCCCCTGCTACCCAAAAGTAGACTGTTCCTATGAAATTCTCACAACCCAAAGTGGCATAAAGCAATGAAGCAATCACCATTAATTAATATAGAAAAAATTTTAAGCATTTCCACATCCCCAAAATAACCTATCAAATCATTCTCTAGTTTGTGGATAATATGATACATTCAAGAGTCATAGAGTACTTTTCTCAAATATATGAAATGAGAAAAAGTATGAAGTCCTCAAGCATAATTTCTGGCAATTAACAGGTACCTAAAACATATATACTGAAATTTAAGTTATTATAAAATCATAAACTAATTTCAGGACATGTTATCCACAGAAGTGAAAATTATATTACCTTGAATATCATCATTGAAAGTGCAATACTGGTTTTGATACTTATTCAGGAGACGAAATGCATTTCTATTGGCAAAATCTTCAAACTGAATAAGGCAATTCATGCCATACCTATAGGACAAAGAGGTTAATAAGATTAAAGAAAAGTCCAACATTAGCCTAAATAAAAGGGAAAACATTATTTTCTTTTAAAGGTCCTATGTTGCTACTTAGCATACTGAGCAAGTATTTACCGCATGCCTACATAGAAAGAACATTTTGCTGGCACTGTGATCACAATTTGCATAAAGACTGCATTAAATTTCAGTGAAAGTTTACTTCCATCCTTCACCATACAACTGATCCCTGTTGATATACCCACTCCAGCCCTTCCCTATACCCTTCTGAAAACCATTAATTGCTCTTAAAGCCTAAAAGTTTAATTCTGTTTTATTTAGTTCAGCCACATGGTTTGGTTTCCACATATGAGTGAAATCACATAGTGTTTGTCTCTTCCCATCTGACTTATCTCACTTTGTGTTAGTTTTTAAAAAATAGTCACTCAGTGGTTTAATATGTTTCAATATCAATAGTTTCTATTAATGAAAGTAAAAAGATTAGATTTGTCAAAAGTTTTTTTTTTTTAAATTGTTTAATACTTATTGGAACCTTTTGGTTGAATTCTCAAATAAAATCAGTAAATTTCAAGTATAAATCTTGATTATTTGTATATTTTATATTCTTCACCTTCAACCAATCTTTCTTTTAAAACATTTCTACAGGCACCAATGAAGAAATATTCCTATGAAACTGTTATTTTTTCCCAATGACATTTTTAAAATCTTGCCTTTATACATTCCTCTTTCCCTTCCTTTATTTCTTCCTATCAAAATCCTTATGGAAATATTAAATATAGGCTCAGAAGAGTTTTGATAGACTTCTTCCAAAGAAATATCATTTTAGTTCAAGTAAAAAGAATTAGAAAATTCCCCTATGAACAAACAACAGAATAAAATACGAGGATCAGGAAGTTAATGGTGTAAAAGTCCTACTGCATAAATCTTAACTCTGAAATATTCTTCTCTTTCTCCCAAACTCTAGCTTCTGTCTCTTCCACTGACTCCAGCTTAAAATCTGCTTTTCATTCTGGTTCTTCTAATCTCTTCTAACTCAGTCCTTCTAGCTTCACCTCTGCTGCCAGAATTATTTCAACACTGGCTCTCTCCCTAAAATTCCACTGTCGCCTGCTGTCCTGTTGTCCTCTTCCTCTCTCACTCTAAATAACCCTCTCACTCCCCTTAGCACATAAATCCCCGTTATTGAGTCCAGCCAATATTTATTTTCATCACTTCCTGGTCCACAAACATGATCCCAAAGCCACTTTTACAAATCATTTTTACTCCACTTGCGTCACAAGCACTCAATCTCTTACCAGTCACCGCCTCACTGGATTCATGTTATCCAGATAGAACTGTCTTGAATTTTAGTTCTCCACATTTGATTAGTCTACTAATCTATCCATGTAAAAAACAAAACAAAACAAAACAAAAACACCACCTTATTTTAATTATTATAGCTTTTAAATAACTTTATAATTTTATTTCCTTTCTTCCCCTATTTCTAGGAAATATTGTTTTCTGTTTCTAATCTTTTATGGACCTTATTGCTTCAACTTTACCTTTCAGTTTCAATGTCTCCCTCTCTACTAGCTTCATATCCCCAGGAATTCTCAGGACTATCTGGATTTAAAATAACACCCCTTGACTAGACAAAACCAATCTGTCTTCCCTTCCAAATGTCTCAGACGAGAAGGCAACTTTTCTTGTCAATATTACCCCTATAATTCAAAGGCAGTCTCAAGCCACCATGTCCTGACATACAATGCAGATGAGACTCTCCCTTTCTTCTGATCCAACAAAATACAGGTTAGTTAGTTGTCTTCCATTGTGGTCATAGGCAAAAACTAGTATCTGAATGTTTATTTGCACTATTTCTATTATTTGTGAAGTTTAGCATTTTTTTCTATGACTCTTGGTGATTTTGTAATTCTTTTCTGTAAGATTGTATGTTCCTTGGTTAATTTTTCTATTCTTATGATTTTTTTCCTTTAATATTTCAAAAGAAATCTTTAAATCTCAAGGATAGTAGCTTTCTGTCCTATGTGTTGCTATGGTTTTCCTGCACTGGCATACTGTGCCATTGATCAGATGGTGTTCCTGTTTTTTTTACAAAAGCACTTTTAAAATGTTATGTGGTTAGACATTTTAATCTTTTTATTTATAGTTTCTGCCCTTGAGGTGGTATATTTCCTACCATGAAGGCAATGTCTTCTGCACATATAGTTACTTTAACCATAATCAAAAACTTTTTTCTAATGATATCATAGCTATGGAAAATAATTAACCTCTATATCTGGTAATTTTTTTTTACTGTTTTGATAAAGAATTTTTTTAAAGAGTTACCTATTTATTTATGCATACAAGTACTGCATTTATTTATGCCCACAAGCCACAGGTGCGGAGGGTGAGAGGATTCTCCAGAGAGGGGTGAACAGGCAGATCTACCAAACACACACTGCTGAGAGGAGCAGCAGGTGAGACAGGAGAGGTCTGTTATGCCATGTGGGTCAGCTCCCTGGCCATCGGCCAGGGATCGAACTAGTGCTGCAGTGACTGGTGATAGCTTGTTAGTGCTGTCTCTTTAACCCCTACACCACCAGGGAGGCCCTGATAAAGACTTTTTAAGATAATTCAAAATTTGTTTTTTAAATAATTCACTCAAGTATATAGCAACAATTATTTAATAGTACATCCTTTCCTTTAATTACCTATAATCATACATTATATTCTGGTATATAGGTGGTATAGAAACAGAATTTTTCTCTTTTATTCCACTACTGCTATAATCAACAAATATGTCTTCACTTTCAAGTAATGTGTGTAAGTATATCTATGTGTATATATTCACTTACTCTCCTCATCTGTGAGGCAGGCACTATAGTAGTCTCATCATATAGGTGAAAGGACATGTAGGTACTGCTTGGTAATGATAGTCTTATTGTGATTAGTCCATTACTTTATCTCAAAAAAAAAAAAAAAAGACTCCATTTCAATTACCATCGTTTCTAAATAACTTCAACATTTAGTAATTTATCTTTCATTGTTCTTTTTAAGTATCTGCTGATCTGGCAGTGGTATTAAAACATAAGCTCTGGGGCCTCCCCGGTGGCACAGTGGTTCTACGCTGGGTTGCGAAGCTGCCCGCAGCCTCTGCAGCACCAGTTTGATCCCCAGCCACCGGGTGGAGGGTCCCACATGGTGCGCAGACCTCTCCTGCCACCTGCTGCTCCCCTCAGTAGTGTACTTCGTCAGTCTGCCTGCTCTGCTCTCCTCTCTGACTCTGGTGAATTCTCTTGCCCTCCCGTGCTTCTGACTGTACCCAGTGCTTATATAAATAAATAAATAAATCTTTAAAAAAAAGAAAAAAAAATAAGCTCTGGAGTCTGAGCTCCTAGGATGAATCCTGCCCTGCTGGTTTATTCTATGTCCCTAAATGTTCCGTGCCTCTGTTTCTCCAGCAGGAGAAATGATAATAATAATGGCATATTATCACAAATTAGAAAGCAGGATTAAATGATGAATGTAAGTGTTCAGTGTGCACAGACTGGCACACACTATGTACTCCCAAATCACTAAATTTTTAAAATCATTTAGTAGAAACAACAGAAACCATAGATGGTGAAATAATATCTTCAAAGGTCTAAGTGAAAATGGCTGTTATTCTAGAATAGTATATATAGTCAAGCTAATGGTTAAAAGTAAACTGAAACAGTTATCTTTAGATAAATAAAACCAAAGACTTTATATAACTAAAGTAACTTCTAAAGGGTGTGTTTCAGAAAGAAAGAAAATGATGTGCTATAATAAGACAGTAAAATGTAAGTAACTGCAGGTAGTTTTTATCCATATGAAATAATACTGATAGACAAGACTACTTCTGATACGACAGTGAGGAGTTGGCAAATTTCTCCAAACACCAGCAATATACCAGAATAAATCCTTCAAAACATTCAAATCATTTCAGTGCTCTGGAAATCAACTAAAGGCAAAAGAAGTAAAAACATGAAAGCAAATTGGGAAGTGGAACAATAAATTCTTATGCTCCTTATATATACGATGTCATTCTAGCAAACTCTTTAGCTGGCTTCATTTAAATTTACTAGAAAACATTTCTACGGTTTATAAATGAGAATTTCTTTTGAAGCCTTAGCAGAGAAGCAAACTTTGTGGTAGCAACTGTTTACCCCAAACACAAATGTCAGTCAATAATCACCTAATGCCTAGGAGTGTGATGGATCCTTCCCTACTTCTTTGGTTTCTAAGCAGGCCTTCAGAAAGGAAAGGCAGCATGATTTTACAGTGACTGAATTTGGTTTGCTCACAAAGTGTCATGTGCTGGCAGGTCTAGCAGCATCTGATGATCTGTCATTATGTTTAGAAGCAACAGATCCTGTGGTCTCAGTATATGATAAGGATTCAGCGCCTTCTCAGTTCTATTCCAGGATCTACTACTTACTTGGTCCTAGGGTTTGGAACTTGCTACAATTTCCCCATAGTAAAAATGAGGTTCCCACAATATGGTTTGCCTTCAGTGTTTAGGACACAATGTGGTCAGGCTATAAATTTATAATGTTTCTAAATGAAATCTTGGGCTAGGCATAGGCAGTAAGATGATGCACAAGATACCTTATCATTTACCAAAGTTTTTTTTTTTTTTTTTAAGAAGTATCCCCTGGAGAATACCACATATCAGTTTTAATTCCATGACTTTTCTCCACCTGGTAGTTAAATCTGATTTTACTCCTAAAGATTGAGAGAGAAGCATTCTGAATTCATTTTGTGATACAAGCAGCTTGCATCATATAATGAAAGAAAACCATGTAAGGGATATTTTGTTCCAGATTGAACCAGCCTTGTCACTATGAAATTATACGTAGTAAAACACAAAGAAGTAAGCCAAGTCAATTCTACATAACTATGAAAAGAACCTACTATTTTATGATCAAAATATCACATAAAATAGTGGGTGTAAATGGTTTTAAAAGTTAACCAAAATGCCGCCCATAAAATTAA